TTTTAAAATCAAAAGCGTATAGATTTGATATGATGCTTTTTGGAATATAAGGATGAAACCTGCACAATAAAGTTTTGAGCTTGTATGTATACTTTATTATTTGTTTAAAATAAATCACATTCATTTAAAATTAATTTAGTCACAGAAGAAAATAATACTAAAACATGTTAGAACCTGTATCACAATGGTCTGAAATGATCACTCCCAGATCTTCCTGCCAAGCCTTTTTCGGATGGTCTAATGTAGGTTCTGAGTCCTCTTGCGATAGTAAATCATAGATCCGTGTTAGCAAACCATTATTACATGGGACAAAGCTAAGCACCTTATTAGGGTTGCAGCAATAAATGGGCCCCGATTTCCTTAATTTTGGGTGATCGGCCAATACTTCCATGGGAAACTGATTTTACCTTCTTTTTTTTGTAGTTTTAACAACAATTGTCTGAACTTCATTTATATTTCAGAGCACTACTTCATGGCCAGTTAAAACAAGTTTGTAATGTTTCCAGGATATTGTTCAAAGGTATGTTTTTCAATAAATAAGATTGGAAAATTGAAGGTGCATTGTGACCTTATAACACCTGATCGGGTCGCTTATAAAAATAAAAAAAATCTGTATCGGCCAAAATCGGAATTGGCAGGTCAGACTTTTAGAGATTGTGATCGGCCAGAAAACTTTCAGTGCATCCCTACACCTTATCCATTATGGAGTCTGGGGGTCGACCGGGGAAGGATAGAAACGGGCTTTTTACACAACATTGGTTCTGTAAGAATTTGAAGAAATCTTTATTATGTAATTTGAATTTTGTTTTGTAATTGCGGAAATGTGGAAAAAATATTTTCAATAAATAAATCCTTTATACATGCAGCACAGTGGCACAACTGGTAGAGCTGCTGCCTCACAGCGAGAAGGTTGCCGGTTGAAATCCCGGTCCGGGGGCCTTTCTGGGTGGAGTTTACATGTTCTCTCCGTGCATGCGTGGGTTTTCTCCAGGTACTCCACTTTCCTCCCACAGACCAAAAACATGCATGTTAGGCTGGTTGGTAACTCTAAATTGTCCCTAGGTGTGTGAGAGAGAGTGAATGGTTGTTTGTCTCTGTGTCCCTGTGATGGACTGGAGACCTGTCCAGGGTGTCCCCTGCCCCTCGCACAGTGACAGCTGGACATGGGCACCGGCGACCCTGTGACCCAAAATGGAAGAAGGGGGTAAAAGATAATAGATGGATGGAAATCCTTTATACATTGAATCCCTTTATCATTCCAATGATGAAATGATACATTTGCGACTGATGGAGGGAATATTTGATTATTTATCAATTAACTTTACTGATATGTCTGTCCATCCATAATGCTTTCATATTTGGAGCCAGATTTTAACAGTATGAAAGACTACTGGATTCTCAATCTTTGCTTTGAAAATTGCTTTATGTACGACCAAATAACAGTATTTGTTGACCCAGGATACCTTGATCCTTGAAGCTTTACGGAGCTGCCTCTACTTGCTGCTCACTCTGTTCAGCCGGAAGCTGAAGTCCTGAGTTTTCGAGTTTTTACTTCAACAAATACAGTTCTCCTGTTTTCTGTGACAAAGAGAAAAGATCTGAAATAAGATTTTAAGTAGTTTTAAAGAGAATGCAAAAATGATTGAAAGCAAAATTGTATGATCAGAGCTTTATATATAAATATAAAAAAAAAACAGTAGTTGGTTCTTCTCTAGAAAAATATCAAGATATGAAACAGTCTGGATATCTGTATTCTATACTTCTGGAGTGAGTTGCAGCGCAAAGAGAAGTTATCTACTCGGATCTAGGGGTTTGTCTGATTAACTTCAGCTTCTTTTTGATAGTTGTGCTAAAAACTCAACATTAAGTCTTCCTGACCAACACCTGCTCTGATGGTGAGAAACAGAAAAACTGGGGGCACTTTGGTTTGACCTCTTGGTTAACTGATCTGCATGTTGCCACCATGAACATAATAACTCTCCACATGCTGATCCTCCTGCCTTCCCACTCCTCGTCTTTGGTTCCCTGTGAGTGGCAGGAAGCAGAGGCAGCAGAGTGGGATGGGGCAGGAAGGAGCAGAGCTTTTCTTGGCACAAGTGGTAGAGGCTCGTCTAACCACATTGCTTTTCCTCCACATTTTTTTTAAACCCAAACTTGGCACTAATAGTGATGATGAGATCAAAATTACTCCCAGAATTGCAGAGTAATTCTGTTATTAAAGCACAATTGACTTTTACTAGTGTACACCAGAAACCTGCATAAAGCGCTGTTACTTATTTAGGTAATCATGCTATCTACCGATATATTATTTTTAGAATCAAAGTTGTGTGACAAAGTAATATTCTATGTAAGAAGCCTTTTTATGGTCTCCCAGGTATAAAACAAAAATCGTCACATCCTTAAACCATCGGGAATTGTGTACTATTCTGTAAAAGGCCAAAACTAATATGCAGATTGACTGAAAACTGAGTTTTTTTTTTTTTTTCTACAAGCAGCTGACCTTGAAGGTTTTATATTTAGATTATAGAAACAATATCTTACATATGGAGAGGAATTTAATTGATGCCGTTCAGTTTGGTACTTGACTGTGTTGATCTGGATGGTTTTAAGTCAAGTCAAGTCAACTTTATTTATAGAGCACATTTAAAACGGAACCCGTTATCAAAGTGCTTAACAACGACAACAACAACAATCAATGAGTAAAATTAAAGGGAAAAAATACAATACACTAATAATAATAACTGAAGAATTAATAAAAAGCATTAAAACATAGGATCACAGAACAAAAAACACTAAATCAATTTACACTGTGTGAAATGCCTGCGAGAACAAATGTGTTTTTATCAGGGATTTGAAGTGAGGAAGGGAGGTGGTCTGCCTGATGTTGGGGGGCAGGTTGTTCCAGAGTTTGGGGCCCATGACTGAAAAAGCCAGATGTCCTCTGAGCTTCAGTCTTGTTTTTGGAACAGCCAAAAGCAGCTGATCGGATGGTCTCAGGGCCCGAGAGGGAACGTAAGGCTCCAGAAGCTCAGAGAGGTAAAGGGGTGCAAGGCCATTTAAGCATTTGAAGGTCAGCAGAAGAATTTTAAAGACTATCCTCGTACGAACAGGGAGCCAGTGAAGGGAGGACAGAACTGGTGTAATATGTTCAGACCTACGAGTTCCGGTTAAAAGCCGAGCAGCAGCATTCTGGACGAGCTGAAGACGTGAGATGGAGGCCTGGCTGACCCCAGCATAGAGTGCACTGCAATAGTCCAATCGGGTCATGACAAAGGCGTGAACTAGTTTCTCAAGGTTGGGTCTGGACAATACTGGTTTGAGCTTAGCTACCTGTTTTAGTTGGAAGAAGCTTTTCTGCAGAACGGAGTTAATTTGTTTGTCCAACTTGAAGTCAGAGTCTAAAGCCATCCAAGATTTTTACCAGACTGCTTCAGATATGGCTGAAGAGAGTCCAGGTTGACAGGATCAGTGGTGGCAGTTGAGCTAGGGCTAAAGACAATGACTTCAGTCTTCTCATTGTTAAAACTTAAGAAATTTGAAGCCATCTAGGCCTTAATGTCGTCCAGGCATTTTAACAGAGGTTGAATGGAGCAAACACTTGCTGGTTTCACAGGCAGGTAGATCTGATAGTCATCAGCATAGCAATGGAATGAAAGACCATGTTTCCTCAGGATGGACCCCAGTGGGAGCAAATAAAGTGAGAATAGAAGGGGTCCAAGAATCGAACCCTGTGGGACCCCGCAAGAAAGAGGTAATGAGGTATATACATTATTACCAACCTTGACACAAAAACTCCTGCCACTCGAGTATGAGCGGAACCATTCTAATGCAGCACCTGTGATCCCAACCCACTGTTCCAGCCGTGACATAAGGATACTGTGGTTAACCGTATCAAAAGCAGCAGTAAGGTCCAGGAGCACAAGTACCACAAATTGACCAGTTTAAAGTTATCTTGTCATGAGACCATGATGAGGACATGCAAAAATAGATCAGAGAGAGTACCTCTGCATTCAGCAGATGAGCTGAAAGTCTGAGTTTCAATGTCACTGAGGAGAATTTCTTTGAGCCTGGTTAGGTCACCATGAGTTGAGGTTCAGCCTAAACTGTCAGTAAGAAGCTCTGTCTGTGCTCCGAGTCTCTTGATAGAAAAATCAGACTGAAGCAACTTTTATAAACATTATCGTAGTTGTACCGGCTGCAGGGCTTTTATTTTCTCCTGATTTTAATTTACTTGTTTATTTTTGCATTTTTTTAAATTGGGTAACAAATGGATTTTAAATTTAACTACCATTAAGTGCATCATCTGAAACAAAGCACACACAAGTAAAAGTACATATTAAATTATTTACTTATAATGTACAGAATATTTAAATTCACTTTATTTATTAGAAGTCATTTCAGGACACTGCACAGAAACGTTCATGTACAGTACATACAAAGTCTTTTGATTTTATTCCACCTCTGATGCTCTTTTCTTGGATCCGGTTCATTTAGCTCAGCTCGTTTACAAAGAGCTGGCTCTTTTGGTTTTTAGATGGCTTTTACTTTATTCTGCCATTTTTCCAGGATCCAGAGCTAAAAGCTGACTCTTTTTGGTCAGCTGAACCAAATGAGCTGGATCTCAGAAAAGACCTTCAATTCCCATTTTTACTGATGGTGTACCTTTTTATCTCATCTTTCTCACTTTCAGCAACAGTATATGTGTTTATTTTATGGTTACTGCATTCAGTATTGGTGCACAGATTGATTTGTTTTTGTGAACCAGCTGCACATTTGCTTCCTTGTGTCTGATGTTTTATTCTTTTCAGCTTAGACCTGTTGCCTTTTATTCTGGGACACTTGCTTATAACTTTTAATAAAGTTTTATTTCATTATTTTAAATTTGTTTTAATTTAAAAATAACAAAATACAAGTTAACAATAATACAAAATAATAAAAGTTTATTGTGCTGCTGTGTTTTTACCTGCAGGTTTGTTACAAATCAAAGTGGATGATGCTCTCCTGAATATCAACAACAACATTGCCCACATTTGTTCAACTTCCTCACTGTGACGGTTGACGCAACCATCATGAATCACACTCCCAGTCCACACCTGTCTGAAGGTGGGAAGAATACTGGAGGAAGCCTGCTGTGCAGCCTCGGTCTGGGGTCCGACAGGGGCATCCGCTCCCCGGACAGCCTTGCCCACACCCCCAGCCCTACTGGAGAAACACCCAGTTCCAGCCCCCCCTTGCTGCTGTCACCCGGGCTGGGAGGCCTCGGGTTTGGCTCTCTGTGTGACGGAGCTGGAGCTGACTGGGAAAGTAGGGAGGAGTTGAGGCTCAGGGAACTGGAGGAGGCTCGTGCCAGAGCAGCCCAGATGGAGAAGACCATGAGGTGGTGGTCGGACTGCACTGCCAACTGGAGAGAGAAGTGGAGCAAGGTGAGCGAGGTTTATACTGAATAACTACACTCTTTTAAAGTTTCATTCATATCAGCTGCTTCAGGAAACTCACTGAACAGGAATAATGGGGGATGTAAAGGTCACGGAAGTTTTTCACCTACTAATGTTAAATTAATATAGAACCATGTAGCCGAGAGAGCCTTTCTGTTTACTCAGAGAGGAGCCTGATAACTAATAAGCTCTGATGCCTTCAAGAACTTAGAGCTGTGAAGCAGAGGTTGTGTTGACCTCCCCTCTGTCTTATAACAGGTATTTAAGCTTTTGCTAACTTTTTCTCTGTGGGCAGACCTTGTGATCAGGACGTTGGGTAACATCTTGTATTCCTGTTTTCAGTTGCTGCTCCCCTTGCAGGACATTAAACCTAGGTTGAAAATATCTTCTTGTTGTCCTTTTTGTGACTATTTATTTAATGAGTTGAGAGGATAGGTCTCTCTTGTAAATGAGTCCTCGAGGCTCACTGGGAACTAACCTGTATAAAGGTTGAAAAAGGATAATTAAATTATCCAACAAGGAATATGTAGTCTAAATTCTAAATTAAGATTGTATGTTCATGAAACCATTCAGTTTCCAGCTGATCAAACAGTTTTGTTTGTTTCCAGGTTCGTGCGGAGCGAAACAGAGCGCGGGATGAGATCCGTCAGCTGAGGCAGCGGTTGGACACCCTCACCAAAGAGCTGACCGGTGTTCGGCGGGAGCGGCAGGAGCTTGCCTCAGAGAATGAAACGCTGCGGCAGGAGACTCTGCGCTTGCAGGGTGACACTGCAGCGCATCCTGCCACAGCTGCCTCTTCCTCCACCACACACCCACACGGCACTTCCTCCTCCTCATCTTCGTCTATCCCTCCTTCCTCGTCTGCGTCGTCCCTCGCTTCCTCTAAAGACCATTCTGAGTGCAAGCTTGACCGGGTTGGGGAAGGCCAACCTGGATCTCCAGAATCAGAACCTGTGAGGGATGTGGACTTGAACAGGCAAAAGATGGGCCAGCAAAAGGTTAGTGCCAGTGTAACCTACAGGCCTTAGTCTGCCTTTGACCTGTCTGGGGCTTTTCTCCTTAATATAGTAAATAAATTGTGGTGTAATTTTAATTCTTAGTCGTGCAATGGAGATAAAAAAGAAACATCTAAACGTCTACACTTGAGATTTCAAAGAAAATACAAGAACAGCAATGTTTAAATTGAATACAACAAAATAATATTAATTCTGCTGTGCTATCTTCACTCCATACTTGACATTATAACTGCCAGCCATTTCATATTTCCCTGACAATTGGGAATAAATTGTTTTAACATCTGCCATTTTGTTCTTGCTCCTAAACCGCTGGTGTATTTCTTTCAACTCATTTAAATTTGAACTTATTCCAATCTTTACTCAAAAATGTGATCAGCTACTCCCATGTTCAAAAAGACTCCTTTTTACATAAAACTCATAACAGATGTTAAAGAGTGCCAGCAAAAATAACTCAAGTCCAAGTCATTGTGAAAAAAATATCTTAAAATCTATGTTTTACTGGAAAAAACTCAGTAAAAGATCTCATGAAAGTTTCAACATGTCCAGAACAGCTACAGCTGGCTTTCTCCAACAGGTTCAGAGTTCTTGATTTGTTTTCCCACAGACTGATTTTTAAAAATTAAAATGGACATTAAGCGACCTTATATGATAACTAACATCGTAAAGTAAGTCTAAGTTATCAAAATAGCATCAGAAATACTGTTTTAGTACTCTTTATGTCAGTGGAGTTTTAGATTTTCTCTAATGATGCTATGGAAAACGTTGAATTTACTTTGTAGTACTAGGCAGGAACTAGCAGATATTGAGTGCTAACTAACGTGAGAGCTTTTATCTGAGCCATGTAAAACAAACAAATGAACATACACAACTAATGTATTGATGGAAATTATGGCTTAACAAAGAGCACATGTGCTAAATTGTAACGAAGACCTGGGGCCTCATGTACAAAAACTTGTTTGGATTTCCTACTGAAACATGGCATACACTTAAATCGAGAATCCAGCTTAGGTCGTTTTCACACCAGATAGTCCGGTAGACTTTGTTCGGTTCGGGACCAATATTCATGACCTTTTGTTTACATTTGAGCTGGTGAGTTTGCATTCACACTGCACTGTGCAGTGGAGTCAATCTGTTGAACCAACCTATTCCCCCACTCGCCTGTGGGGGCGCTGCACCAAGAACTACTGAAAGAAACGACACAAAACCCTCTGAAGACACTTCTTCTTCTTCTTCTTCTGTAAATAAAAACAAAAACGAAGTGGCATCAAGTTTTAGCAGTTTTAGGAGTTATATTTGGTCATTTTTCAAAAATGGACTCAGCATGAGCAGAAGATGAGACAGAAGACCATGGAGAATATTGTTTTTCCACACAAGGCAGCTGAAGGCTCCATATAAGGTCAGAGCAATGCGTGTTTGTTTACCCTGCGGAGCGGGGTCTGGTCTGTTTACATTCATACAGCACTCGAACCGTGCTGGATTTCGCTTCTACCGGACCGAGACCTAGGTTTTAGCCCGGGCCAGAGTTCGCCTTTTTGTTCCGTGACAGAGTTCGATGGCGCGTTCATACCTCCCTAAACGAACCGGACTTTCTAGGAAAATGAGCTAGAGTTCGATTAAAGTGGACTAAACAGGGCTGGTGTGAATGCACCCTTATACACATACAAATCCAGATGTATCAAACCATGTGTGCACATGAATCCAAGCACACGTTTTCATTCAACCTTTATTTATACAGTTTAGTTCCCATTGAGCCTCGAGGACTCATTTACAAGAGAGACCTGATTAATATATATATATATATATATATATATATATATATATATATATACACACACACTTTTTTTTTCTTCTTTCGGCTGCTCCCTTCTTCAGGGGTCACCACAGTGAACTAAGTCGCATGAAGGCTTGGCAGTTATTTTTACGCCGGATGTCCTTCCTGACGCAACCACCGAGCTACCACAACCCTCTGTGTGGAGCAGAGAGCTGCTATCTAGGGACACCCGGAGGAGCAGATGGTGGGGGTTAAGGTTCTTGCTCAAGGGCCCAGAGTGGGACGAATGAGGGTGGGGGCAGGTGTGGGTGCTTCACCTACCCCACCCACATTTTTGATGTTGTCGGTAAAGGGGCTTGAACCGGCGATCTTCCGATCACAGGCCCACCTTCTCTAACCTCTACGCCACCACTACCCACATCAGCGGGATTAATATTAGGACGATTAAATGAATTTACTCACCAAGAATCCACCTGTTGGATAAAAATATCCTTTCATTATCTACTTACTTAAAAAGAGCCACACACGAAGACAGGAGATTTTTCAACCCAGTTTACTTGCAAGGGCAGAGTTCACACAGGCTTACACAGATGTCTCATTGAAGCCCTTGTTGTGAAGATCTGCACCGGACAGTTTGCAGGAAGTGTTTTTATAATGCTTATTAGCACAATGACCTCGGTCTCGTAGACTTTGAGGCGTCAGGTGCCTGCAGGCTTTGAGAGAGAAAAACAACTCTCTGACGACCTCACACACATGGTTTAACATTAATTTAACATTAGCAGTGAGAAACATGCATAAACCTTTACCTAAATTCCCTGACAACACCCATCCCGCATCATACTAGCTTGTAATATGTTCTCAACCTTGCTGTTCATTAGAAAGAATGAATCGTGCGTTGATCCAAGCCACCTCACCACAGTGTTTGTTAGTTGCTTTTGCACATCATATATGCACTGTCTGGCCAAAAAAAAAGTTGCCACCAAAAAAAAAAAAAAAGGTCACTAATATTTTGTTGGACCTCCTTTAGCTTTCATTACAGCATGCATTTACTGTGGCATTGTTTCAATAAGCTTCTGCAATGTCTCAAGATCTATTTCCATCCAGTGTTGCATTGTTTCACCAAGATCTTGCATTGATGACTAGTCACTAGGCATGATGGGTGCATCACTTCACCTGCCTCTCTTCTTACCCTGATGCACCCATCACTCTGGACTCAGACCACATGACCTTCTTCCATTGCTCCAGAGTCCAATCTTTATGCTCCCTAGCAAATTGAAGCCTTTTTTTCCAGTTAGCCGCACTGATTAGTGGTTTTCTTAAAGCTACACAGCTGTTCAATCCCAATCCCTTGAGGTCCCTTCACATTGTGTGTGTGGAAATGCTCTTACTCTTGCTCTACTAAACAACGCCCTGAGTGCTACTGTTGTTTTTCTTCAATTTGATTTCACCAAACATTTAAGTGATCACCGATCACGATCATTCAGGATTTTTTTCCGACCACATTTCTTCCTCAAAGACGATGGGTCCCCACTATCCTTCCAGTTTTTATTAATGCCTTTGACAGTTCTTAACCCAATTTTAGTAGTTTCTACAATCTCCTTAGATGTTTTCTCTGCTTGATGCCAATGATTTGACCCTTCTCAAACAGACGGACATCTTTTCCACGACCACACGATGTGTTTCGACATGGTTGTTAAAGAAATGAGAAGCAACTCATTGCACCAGTTGGGGTTAAATAACTTGTTGCCAGCTGAAAGATAATCGCCCACACAGTAATTATCCAATAGGAGGCTCGTACCTATTTGCTTAGTTCAATCCAGGTGGCGATTTTATTTTGGCCAGGCAGTGTAATTTACACATTGAATGAATGAAAATGCTTCTTGTTAACATAAACATGCTCATCCTGTGATGATGCTTTTGTAGCAATGTGCGTGCAGTCGATAGCGCCGATTGCATTAGGAAAACCTCTGCAAATTGCGCTTTAATGTTGGCCTGTTTAACCGCATTGTATGGGCATTTGACATACCTGATTGACATACAGATAATTCCATCCCACACAGATGGCGTGGCTCGGCTCAGGGTCGCCTGGCACAACAAAACTGACAGGAATGTTTAATGGTTCAACATCTACACACCTGTGCCCTGTACTACAGAGCAGGATTAGTATTTAGTGGAGTGTTAGTGTCTTCAGGGTCAAGTATGGGATTTTCAGCATCATGACAAGTTTTACCACTTTCTAGTTTAAGTTTCATTGTGTAAACTTTTACTGGAAACCTAACCTGCTCCAGAACAGGTAAGGGTCCGGATTAAAGATCACACGTCAGTGCACTGCCTCTCAACAATTCTGTGTCCTTAAAATAAGATGTAAAGAAGTCATTTTTTTAGTTCTGCCATAATGTTGGACTTTGAGAAACATTTTTATGAGAACTGAGCAGAGCTGAATACAATACTTAAGTGATATAAAACAGAACATGATCGCTCTAAAGACGTTTCCTTCCAACTGTTTTTACATGAGACACTTTGAAAAATAAATATCTGTAACTGTTACTCTTGATCATTTACAACCAACTGTTTATTTGTATGCTCTTGGTAATTTTCACAGACATTATTCAATTAAAATCACAATTAAACTAATACTTTTACTATTTTATAGATTGACTGACAGAAAATGTTCTTATTTAAATTAGTCCACTCACTGGTCTAACCTGTTTTTTAATATTTTTTGATCCTCACTTAGTACAAATGTTTTTTTTAAACAGTATAAAAACAGGAAGAAGTTGAAGCCTTCATGTCTCCATTAAAGGCAGCACCTGCAGCACATTAGCTCCACAAAAAGTAGCCTAATGATACCCTATGGTTTAATCTAGTTGTGCTTTAATTACATGGCAGCAGTATTGGTAATCTTATTTTTTTTGTGGGTGCGTTAGCTGATTTCTTTTTCCATTGTCTTTGTTGGCTTTTTTTTTCAGCTTCACGATTGTAACTGGTTTAAATTAAAAGTCAGAAATCCTCAGCTGATTTACTAATCTCAAAACAAGATCTGTGGTACTGCTAAACACGATTCCTCATTGTTGGGGTTAGTTGAACTGATTCTCTTAAAGAAACAGAATAACTTGAACCTGCTTCCAAGTAATGGGCCTGGAGTGGGTGAAACAGAAAACAACATAATCAAAGTCCTAACCAGAGCAGGAGACAAACTGATCATGACGTTAAAACCTACAACTAAAAGATTATACTAGAGAAACTGCATTTCCTGCGAAAACGCAGTGTGAATGCTTATTGCTGAAGAACTTGTAGAAAAACAGCTGAAATTAACTTAAAACATGCTGAAATGTATGTGAAATAGAAGAGCAAGCCCAAGTTAGCAGAAGAAAGCAAAAAGAACACATAGTTGCTGAATTAGGTTTAAATACGCATAAATTAGCACAAAAAGTAGGAAATTAACTAAAACAGCTGAAATGAGCAAAAATAGCTGAAAAGTAGCAGAAAAAGCTGAAACTAACATGAAAAAGCTGAAAGGAGAATAACAAGCTGAAACTGGCAGAAATAAGTTAATTAGGCTGAAAATAGCAGAAATTACAATGAGAAACGTGAATTTATCTTAAACAGCTGAAATTAGCTAAAAATGCTATAAAAAGTAGCTAAAAAGGTAGAACGAGCTTAAATTAGCAGAAGAAAGCAGAAAGAACACATGTTTGCCACAATTAGAAGCACAAAAAAGTGGAAATTATCTGAAAAAGCTTCAATGAGCAAAAACCAGCTGAAAAGTAGCCAATAAAGAAAACAAAGTTTAAATTACCAGAAGGAAGTGGAGAGAGCACAATTGTGCCTGGTTAGGCTGAAAAGAGTTTAATTGAGTGCAAAAAATGTGGAATTACCGTAGCTGACAAAGCTAAAATTAGCTTAAAAACTGTTGAATAGTAGCTAAAATAGCAGAGAAAGCTTAAACATGCAGAATTAAGCTGAAAGGAGTAGAAGAAGCTGAAGTTAGCAGAAAGAAGTTAGAAGAAGTATACAATTGTTGTAGGTAGTAATAATCTGAAAGGAGCAAAAACAACTTAAAAACAGCTGAAAGTAGCTGAAAAAAGTTTAAATTTGCACAAGGAAGCTAAAAGAAGCTGAACCAGAACAAAATGTGAAAGGAGCAGTAAAAAATTGTAAACGGATCTAAAGATTTGAAGGATGTAAAATTAATTCAGTTAATTTTCTATGAGGACAAAAGTGGCAGAAAAGGCTAAATATTTCTAAAAGCTAAAGTTACACCAATACCAAAAGTCACAGCAGGAATGTCCTGAAAGAGCTGAACGTTTTGATGTATGATTTGTTGCAATAGCTTAAACTGCTGGACGAGAATCGTGCCGAAGAAAAATGGATCACAACAGTGTGAACGCTTCATAAACATTCACACAACAAAAACAAAAATTCAGACTATGACCCCATTGGTGTCATAATCAGGTGCTTTTTACTTATTAGTCTGTGTTGTTTAACATGTTAATGTCCATTTTAATGAGGTTTTCTTTAACTATGCTGCTTTAACCCACTCTAGTTAACTACTAAGCTTCTCTTATACTTATAGACCCGGGTACATAAGTACTTTAAGAAAAGGTGCATTGTGTAGCTATAAAAAGGACCTAATGTGAACATGAGAATGTAGGTCACAATGACTGCTGTCTCTCCTAAGATGAAGTACAGCCATGCAAGACAGTTCTTCAAGCGTTGGGTCAAGTTTTGGGTCTTTGTGTGTGTGATGCTCTAGTTAGGAGACCCTGGCTTTGTCCTCGGGTACACATCCACTCTTCCTGCTTACTGATCCCAGAGGATGGAGTGACACAGCTGACCCTGCAGTGCAGGTTGTTCCTTGTTAGCCTGTTCTATTCTAAATAAACCACCTGAACAGCTCCTACCGCCTGCGTCTTCCATACATGTGGAAGACTGCATGAGATCATGGTATTAAAAGTTATTGCAGGTAATTTTTAGTTACCTTCAACTATACTCTGCCAAGAATATGTCTGACTAACAAGTTCTCTCATAGATATTATTCAATTCATTTTATTTATACAGCACCAAGTCACAACAGAAGTCCTCTCAGGGCACTGAACAGAAGCATTCATATACATCAAAGTAAGTTAATAACAGTATTTATCTGCAGATAAACATTTTTTCACACATTTCATATCAGAAAATCAGAGTAAAGTTTGTGGAAGTGAGCTTACTAATTGTCTGGCTTCATAACAACCAGTTGGTCTGTCTGGAATAATTTACAAGCTACTCTGTCACCAGAATTCAGATGTCTTGACAAATGCTCTGAAAGACCATATCTTAAGGAGACGTTGATTAAACTAATAGAAATTGACCCCTTGGACTAAATGTTGCACATTTACAGAGTAAACCTATGTGTATTAACGTGCACTGTCCCTTTATAAATATAAAATAAGCTATATTGAACCACTAATACTAAATACATGACAACATATTAGATATAAAAATATAAATATATTATAATTGTTATATTATTATATAAAATTATTATAAAAGGGATTACCCAAGAACCAATAAGGATAAGAATGTAAATTAAAAGTTTAACATTTTTGAAGGAAGAGGAGCAGAAAGAGAAAATGGACTCAGTTGTTCCTCTGATTCTTCAGAGCTCGTGCAGACGATCGTTCTGAAAAGTGTTATCACACTGGACATGTCCAAACCACATATAACAATGTTACAGCAGCGTAAATGTGTCTCGTGGTCAGCTCCAGTTTAATTCTGAACATCTGATGTACTATTTTTAACAGGGCAACTGAATGTTTTTGGTTTATAGATGATGAGCGTGAAGTTTTAAAAGAGGATAAAATGCTGCGCAGAGCAAATGTTCAGATGTCTTAAACTGGTTAGCGAGCATGCATCAGTGGAATTATTGGTGTTGGGAGAATGCACGCAGAGTTGATTTTTTTAGGCTATTCGTTTTGTATGTTTATACCCATTTGGTAACTTGTTAATAAAAATAAATCTTATATCTTCCTTTCGTTACGTTTTTAAAACTATAATGTCAAACTGATTTGCTTACAAAAGCATCCATCCATCCATCCATCCATTATCTTTACCCGTTTGTTCCATTTTGGGTCACGGGGGTCGCTGGTGCCCATGTCCAGCAATCACTGTGCGAGGGGCGGGGTACACCCTGGATGGGTCGCAAGTCCATCGCAGGGCCACATAGAGACAAACGAGACAAACAACCATTCACTCTCTCACTCACACCTAGGGACAATTTAGAGTTACCAATCAGCCTAACATGCATGTTTTTGGACTGTGGGAGGAAACCGGAGTACCCGGAGAAAACCCACGCATGCACGGAGAGAACATGCAAACTCCACCCAGAAAGGCCCCTGGACCGGGGTTTGAACCAGGGACCTGCTCGCTGAGAGGCAGCAGCTCTACCAGTTGCGCCACCGTGCTGCCCTTACAAAAGCAGTAAAAGCTTAATTAAAAAAAAAAAAGTTGGGATCATTTTTTCGGGTTCGGCCCTCTAATTACCGTACAGTTAATCCGTTGGGTAGGGCTCGGGGAAAAAAACCTGCGGGCTCGGTCTGGGCCGGGTTTATTAGGCCTGAATGCAACTCTACACAGAGATATTAGAGTTTCTTGAAACTCTAAACGTTTGTCTTTGTCTTTAGTTTTGTTGCAGACCAAATTATCCTGACAACTAAATTCAGTCTTGTGCAAACATACACACAAAGAACACACACTAAAAGAAATGTGGTCTCCTCAAATGAAGGTTTTTGTGTTTAAACTGACTAAACATCAGTCGTACCATCTGGCTTCTAGGGTTTCTTTGTCACAAAGAAATAGGCACGAGGCTTTGAGTTATGAGTAAACCGTACATGTGTTTGTCTGTGAACGCACCAGAGGTGGTCCTGAAGCCATGCTTAGATCTGCTCTAACGCAGCCCAGCCTGATTTCCTGCCCTCCTCCATTGTTCTGGTTCTCACATACATGCAGAGTACTTCCTTCCACATGTGCCACGGTACTGTGGTTTGTTTCATCGATGGCGTCCATCTGTTGGTTATTACCTGTTACTACAGCAGGAACATGGGAGCTCTGTTTTTATTCAGCACATGTTGTTTATGATGTGCTGATACACAATTTTGAGACGTGCATGTTTTTAAACTTGACTTTTTTGTAGAAGAAACTAAAGAGACTGTCATCCTGGCCTTCTTTATTCAGACCAGGTTTGGTTTTGTTGTCACAGGATGGCCATGATGTCAGGGATTCAGGAATAGCAGAAGAGAATACAATATGGTTTCATCAAACCAAAGCTGGTTTCATTTTTCCAATAACTTCAACTCTATCTTTTCTCTCCCTGCTATGACAGGACCTGGAACTGCTGGAATCAGTTTTGCATTCAGGAGCGACTGAACGCGACACTCAGGAGATCTGGGATGGTCCTGGGGTTAATCCAGCAGGGTCACGCTCATCCTCCGGTCTGAGCCGGCAAGAACGTAGCAGGCAGTTGTGGGAGGACGTAACCACGGTTGAGGAAGACTCAAGCAAACTGAATGCCCTGCAGCTCCGACTCGATGAATCCCAGAAAGTCCTGCTGAAAGAAAGAGAGTAAGATGAGGCTAATTTCCAGACTGTCATAGATGTGTTTTAAGAGCTGTTTGGCAACGTGGTATAATTTAACATGTTGCATTATTTCATAATTTACGCTAATTCGTTTTACCATGAAAACGGCAATTTTCTTCACAAGATTAATGAAATGGATGCTATTAATTTATGTGTTTACCTGCAAAATTGTTCATTTTCGGCCACTTATCTGTGGTCAGGTTGTAGACACAGCAAGTCTAGGAGGGAAACTCGGGCATCCCTTTTCCTAGCAACAATCTCCAGCTCCTCTTGGGGGATCTCAAGATGTTCCCAGGCCATAGTCCCTCTAAAGATTTCTGACACTTGATTCACTTGAACACTTGACTCCCATGACCCCCTTTGCAACAGTGCAAGGGTAAAAGTCTGGTCCATTGTTCCACAACCAAAACAAAAGCCACACTGCTTCTCTGCAAAATTGCCACTTTAACTTGTTGGAGGGGTTTGAGTACACCTGTGATTCTGGGGGCTATGTTTTCTGGGATATTCGCCCCTAAAGGGTCTCCCTAGGCAAAACAGGCCACTGTGGACGGTTGTGACTAGAACCACTTTGCTGAGTGGAGTTCAACTCCACTCGGTTCTCATCTTATTGGTTCTTCTCAGTGATTTGCCACTGTGACTTGTTTCCTCGCTCTGTGGGTGGGATCGTCGATGCAAAGTGGGCAATATCATAACGGATCATTGTGTTTGTGCCACCCCACCTGTTGTGGTCCTTAATCACCTCATTATCGGACTTCAGTTTCTTTAGCTTATCCCAGCACTGCTTAGAGGTCTGGGCGTAGCCATGCTGCACCACCATCTCCGATATCTCTCTGTAGATTTATTCATTTCTTGTGGCTCCATCTGTCAGCACGATCAGAGAGGAAGTGGAGGCTCAGATGTAGTTTTCAGTTTTGCTGGACGGGTCATCCAGTGATGTATCTCCGCTGGCCAATCAACGCTTGCTGTCTGCTTGCGTCAAAATTGACACCTCTGAGTAGTTGACTTGGAACCTCAAACAAGGTGGTCCCATAAACTGTGCTGAGCAGAGGTGGGTACTGACAGTGGGCTGGTTCTTAACTGGTGTGGTGAGGATCGGAAGAGATTTGAGACAGTGGCATATTCCTGCAGATAGAGCTACATGATATCGATGGCACTACCACAACATCTTTTTTTTTTTATTTTGTTGGTACGACTGTAATATTCACATATCTAAAGGTTCTAAATAGGCCAGTCTGCAGCAAGGGTGAAAACATATTTAATAATTCTTAAAGGCTCTTTGTTTTGTTGTTTTTGTAGGAAACATACAACCTGCAATACTTTAGGCGATGCAGAAAATAAACTTGCAACCGAAGTAAGAATGTTGAAAACTGTAATGTTTTGTTTCTTTGTACTTTTTTCAGAGACAAGCTTGCTTTGAGTAAAAGCATTGAGAGACTGGAGGCTGAGCTCAGTCAGTGGAAGCTTAAATATGAGGAACTCAGCAAGAACAAGCAGGAAGCCCTCAAACAGGTAGGAGTCCAGTAAGAACAGCTGTAGGTCCTCCGTTTTACTCAAGGTATCAGGTACCTTCATGCAGTTGTTTTGACTATTTAAAAAAAAAAGCCTGGGTCACAATTTTGCGTACATTTACTTAATATGCATAAATTCAACAATATTTAGTTCCAATATTTTTAACTGTGATGGTGATAATCTGAGGGGCAAAAGAATGAACCTCATACAATTTAAATTGCTAAAGGAACAAAGTCTAAAATGCAATCATCCCCTTGGAACTAAAGCTTTAACTTCTGTTAGTGTTCACAAATGTCCACAGAGGATAACTTGCATTTGTAATGAGAGATAATATGCGTCTGATATTATCCTTGATTTAAACGGATTCTTTCATTTTTCTGGACTGAGTACTATCGTGCCTTGAATGATTAAATGTGGACGGAAACATGTTTTATCTTTGACTCACCAACAACAGTGGGTCGTTTATTTAAAAAATGATTTAAACACATCACACATTTACAATAATTGGCAGATTGATTACAATTAACACAGCTTAATTAATGAGCTTTTGCACTGAGAAATCATACGGCTATGATTTCTTCACTTGCAGCTTTGAAACCAACAGACATTTCTGAAAATATCTGGATTAATTACTGGCAGATAGAAGAGTTTTAAAGATGGGAAGATGAAGTTTAAATGGAGAGAGATGGGTGAGGGGATGTGTCTGTTATAACCAGAAACAACACGCTCCTTTGGACGCAGCTTAACCCACGGTACACTCGCAAGTGAAGATCGACTCTTTTACCTTTTGCAGACGATAGTTTCGGCTCCGGTGTAGAGTTTTCTTTCAACTCTTTTCAGCGTCTCCGTAAGAACAGCTGTGACCTCAGGAGTCGTGAGAGTACTTCGTTCAACAGCACGCTCACCTCCCAGGTGGACTCACATGACCTGTGAGCCCGTCAGAGTTCCACTCAGATGTGGAAGATTCCATAATCCCCACGAGACTCGAAAGAACTCCCAACTAACTCCAGCACTTCAGAACTTTCGTTCGGTTCTGCTCTCAGAACTTTGGTTCATGTCTGGAACGTTGTTCTTCTTGGAACTCTTGTTCCGCTCTGGAACTTGTTCTGCCTGGAACTAGGAAGTGTTGACCCTTTTTAAAGAGGTCACTTCCGGTTCCTCTGAGAACTTCCTGATTGGTTGAACGAACCAATCGGGGTGTGGTTTTAGTGACGTCAGAGGTTATTACAAGTCAAGGAGACAGAGTAGATTGTTTTAAGAACAGACAGAAAGATGTTTTGAAGAAACAGAGACATTTAGGAGCCAGTCTTCCTTCTATCTGTCTGATAGAGATAAACATGACATTTCGTTCCGATAAACATGTTTTTGACCGTTCCTTGACTTTTGACCGACTCACTACTTGCTCATTTCAGACAGAATATCAAAAAAATGCATAATTACTCTTGTAACAGACATTAACTTGATTTCTACTTTGAATGAGGATTAAAAATCATTAATACTGTTTCACAGTTGATTTAAAATGAGTGGTTCACTTCAACATTTAAAATGGTTTGAACTAAACACACTTTTGATTATCAAGACATTTGTAAAATAGTAATGATAATATGAAAGAGAGTGTTCTTTCAATTGATCCGTGCAGGACACACTCAGAAAGTCTCTGGATGAGCTTAATTTGTGTTTCTGGACTCAAATCAATGAAATAACAGTTCCTGTTCCAGGAAGGCCCTCAGGGTCAGGTTTTCGACCTGAGGCTTAGTTCACTACACATTTAACAACATAATTAGAGTTTATTTCACTGCAGTAGGTTGACAAATTCATAGTACAAATGGTGAAATAAATATTTGAGTAAAAAGATCCTCAAAGTGCAAAGTGTAGAATAATGATTGGATTTATTTTCACCAACCAATACTATTTATTAAAAGTAGAATTTAAAGTTTAACTTTATATTACAATCATTGCAAATGAAGACGTATTTTCATACAGAGTTGCAGCTCTTATAAACAGTATAAATGGAGTAAAATCACTGTGGACTAAGATCACCAGTCTGAATAAAAGTTTTGCATGTTCAGATAACAAGCGTTAATGTGGCTCCTAGTAACGGACCTGTAGAGAGTTATAAACTTAAACTGCAGCACCTTTTGGGATTAATAAGTGTATAAGGATGTAACACAGTGTTCCCTTTTCAGGTCAAAGTGTTCCTGCGTAGGTTCTTATGATGGCTTCCTTACGTCACACAGGAAGAAACTGTTAAAAGCCACTAAAGAAAAATAGACTAGCTAATAATCCTTTATATAACTCCATCTTTATTTACACATTCCCATATTTATTACTCGCTTCTTCCTGTTTAGGGTCGCAGGGAGCTGGAGTCTTATCTCCAGTGGTCATTGGGTGAGAGGTGGGGTACACCCTGGACAAATTTCCAATCTGTTACAAGACTAAACAGAGACAAACAAGACAGAAAATGTTCTTTCACTTACACCTAGAGTCAATGTAGAGTACTTAACATGCATGTTTTTGGTCTGTGGGGGTAACAGAATAAAACAACAAAAACAAGCAAGTGCTTGCAGTGTTCCCAGCGATTCTGGAGATCTGGGAAAACCTGGTAAATTAATGACTTTCTCATTTCCAGACAGAGAAACTCGGGGAATGTGAGCATTGATCTGCTGTGTCAAAGATGATCTTTCTGAGATTTTAATGTGTACAGTAGTCCCTCGTTTATTCAATTTAATAATAATAATAATGTCATCACAATGTCAGCACTGTACGTTTCCATACAATGGCGAAATTAGTCTCTGCATTTAACCCATCCACCACCAGGTGGTGCAGTGGGCAGCTATTGAAAGCGCCCTGGGGGCATTTTGGGGATGAGGTGTGCTGCCCAGAGACGCCACGTGATGTGCAGTGACTGGGGATCGAACCTGGGACTTTTGGGTCCCAAGCCGGCTGCCCTGCCTCTACACCATCTCGGCCCCCTTCAATTCAATTTAAAAATGCTTTATTAATCCCAAAGGGAAATTATTTGTTTCTGTAACTCGTTATCCTCATTTCATTAAGAGATGTTATAGACACTGATGGTTGTAGACAGGAAGGATCTCTTGTAAAGGTCCATCCCACAGTGGATCCTAAGAAACTGGCTGCAGATGCCGTCCGATCCGTCCACCCAGACTCGGCTGGTCTCTCGGTTCCCCCGGGCTGTAGGACCGCCCGAATGCCGGGCAGAACTCCTTCCAGAGCGATGGCCACTCCTCCCAGCAGTCTGCCGAGCTCCTCATCACTGTGGACAGCCAGCTGTAGGTGCCGAAGGACGATCCTGTCCTTCAGCTGTCATGAGCCGTGTTTCCTGCTAGTTCCAGGATCTCAGTGGTCAGGCACTCAAGCACAGCTGGCAGGTAGATGAGAATGCATCCACAGAACACCCTTTTCAACTCATTTGAGATTTGGGGCTGTAGTTGAGATATTATTTGAGCTTTTGAGATGTTAATCGGCTGCTGTTGGTTGTAGAAAACAGCCTTGTTGCCATGGTTACGCATCATAACAAATGTCCAAAACTATAAAAGTTTCAGTAAAAATCCTTCCAGCTGCACAGCTTCTGATACCAGAGGAAACAATCATCCAAAAAATGTGATTTACATCCAGAAAAAGAGGAATTAAAGTTTCCAAAAGCAAAATCTCAGAATGAAAGTAAGAGCTGCTCCAACATGCAGCCACCTTGCGCGGCGCAATATCACGGATTATCACGGAGGATCTGTACCCAGAAGCACCACAATAAGTGGAAAAACTGCAAACAAACTCTTGCAATATTCTTAACAATGTTTCTAAACTCTTAAGTACTCTCAAAGAGCACAGCATGTCATGATTTCAGCTCTCTGCCTCCGACTGCTCTCTGCCACCTGCCAGCACTCTCGACCTCGTACACTTCTTCACTGCAGGGCAGCTTCTCCTGCAGCTGTGGGCTGTACACAGGTGCAACAGGTGCTAAATAATTTAAAATTTATTTTAAATAAAAATTTCATGCCGATTGTGTGATCAATCAGCCAATTGTGTGTCTTGTCCAATCTTATTTTGAAAAACTGCTATAGAGGGAGTCTGCAAAAAACGAACCATGAAGTGGCGAGGGACTACTGTAGATGTATTGATGCTAGTATTCTAGTAGAATGAGTCTATGTTCTGCTTCTACAGTGTATATGTATTATTACTGACTGGCTATGGTGGTTTTTAGTATCCGATTATATAAAATATAATTAATTACTGCGAATGATTTCTGTATGCGTGTAACAGACTACAGTATACCTACTGTATCTCCAAGAGGTAATAAGCTCTTTTAAGCGTTCCTTGTGACTGAAATATCTTCTGGAATTCCAGGATTTACTCGGGGAAAAATTAGGGAATTTTGTTTTTATAGAATGCTAGAAACCCTAACGAGGAGAAAAGCGGACAAGTCCCTGCTCGGAGTCGACCCAGACTTTCTTGGTGCAAAGCAACAGTTCTAACCAAGTGCAGTTTATAAATTTATAAAATAAAAACATGCTTAATGTACAGTGTTTTTTTATTTTTTTTCTCATGAAGCTTTTAGAATAAATGATTTGCACAAAACAAATCTATGCTCTTCTAGCTCAGGAGTGTTTATGGTAAATGTTCCAATAAATTATCTTTTTAATTGTTAGTACATTGTTCAGCAATGACTAATAAGTTTAAGGAAAATATTACAGCCATACACAGATTCATGTGAAATGAATCGAGACATTGTAGCCTTCTCTTTTGATAAATCCAAAGCTGCATGTGTAAATGTGTGCCACCCGATGCTTTGTCTGTTTTTTGCCACTTGGTGGCAGTCCAGACTAACCGAGGGTCGCTGAAGCAAGGTTTTATAAAACATACTGAGAAACTTTATTAACCCAGCAGGTCAGAAACAAGAGAAAGGCAGGTGGGGTCAGAATGCTTGAGAGATGTGGAAATGGCTGTGACGGTTATGCTAAAGATAAGCAGATAGAAGAGAAGCAGACATTAGAAGGTTGAAGGGAAGCAGAGATGCAAAGATAAGATAGGAACTAGGAGGAGCAAAAGAAAAGACAGAAGAGATCAGGTCAACCTTATCTACACTCTTTAATCGATACTTTGAAACCACCGGAGATGTTTGAGCTCATGAATATCCACCTTTTAAAGGTGGAAGGAATGTATTTTTCTTTAAATAAATAAACAGCACTGGTTGTCAAGATACCATACCAGCTTTATTTATAGAGCACTTTAAACACCCACAGGACCAAAGTGCTGTACACGTAATTAACATAAAGATGTTAATGTTTTTCTGACAGTCTGCTAAATAATAAAACGGAGGAGATATTTTAGCATTCCAACATTTAAATGTTTTGAAAAGTGCTTGAAATTAGTTTTAGCTCCTGGTATCATTTTAGTTCAGTTTCTGATGTGCAGCTGTAAAAACCCAGTCCTTTGACGTTCTGTGCGTGCTCTCTTACTCCACATCATTTAGCTGAATCTGCTGAAGGAAATGCATCAGGATGAACTCGGCCGCATGTCTGAAGACTTGGAGGATGAACTGGGAGCTCGGAGCAGCATGGACAAGAAGCTTGCAGAGCTACGAGCTGAGGTGAGCAGGTGGGAGAGCAGAAGGTGGGGGTCATCAAGTCACGTCAAACTTATTTACAGTGAGCGCATTCCTAAAACCAGTGCTGCAATACAAGTAAACAAACAAGTGTAGGTGTCAAAAGAGAATTGTTCGGAATATATGTGTTAATGTAATTTAACGCTTTTGTTTAATCCCAGTCTAGCTCTTCTTTGCCACCAGGATGGATCAACAATACTGTGTGTAACACACACCGCTGGCTCTGTGTTTTTCCATTAGATGGAACGGCTGCAGGTGGAGAACGCTGCGGAGTGGGGGCGCAGGGAGCGTTTGGAGACGGAGAAACTGGCCCTGGAGAGGGACAACAAAAAGCTGAGAGCTCAGGTCGAAGACCTGGAGGAGCAGCTATCGAAGAAACGCCGGCAGGCGGCTTCTGCTCTGGACACAGACCTCAAGGCCATCCAGAGCGAACTGTTTGAGAAGAACAAGGTGAGCAGAAAACCTTCATCGTTTTGTGCTCATGAGTTTTTTATTAACCTGAAAATTTTACTATTTGTTTTATAGTCTCCATCAATTTTAGGTTTGTGCTCATTTTATTATTTGTTACATCAATATAAACCAGAGTCAGTGTTTCACTACATCAGTTCATTCAACCTTTATTTAGACGGGTAGATTCCATTGAGCCTCGAGGACTCATTTACAAGAGAGACCTGATTTCAACAAAGAATAACGACAACAATGGACAACAGCGACAACAATAAACAGTTATAAAAAGTCATACAAATTTATTTTTTTTACTTTTATTTTTTTAATTATTATTTTTTTTTTTTACAAGTCAGTCAGTCAGTGTTGCACTACATCAGTGAATACAAGAGTTAAATCACTGGCCTCCCCATCCTCCACAACTTTTTTAAAACTTTTATTTATACAGACAGTCTCATTGAGTCACGAGGACTCATTTTCAAGAGAGACCTGTTTTGGGAGAAGACGGTGAGGGTTAAGGGCCTTGCTCAAGGGCCCAGAGTGGGGCAAACGAGGGTGGAGGCAGCTTCACCTTTCCCAGAGCCCTGTAAAGAGAGAGTTGCGACACTCCCATAGACTCCCATAGAAAGAATGGAATGCGGAAGTCACGTGGGTCATGAAGCGGCAAAGAGTTCCAAACAGCAGCGGGTTCAGCATTGAACGTAGTTCATTCTCCGTGTTTTTCCGGTAAGTTGATGCAAATACGACACTTTTTTGCCATTGTGAAGCGTTATCTGACTGTTCTGTACCACAGTTTATCAACATTAATACTTCATGTCGCCAGTTTTAGTTAATGAAACATGTTAAATTACTAGTTGTTTTTTAACTGCAGCTGCTCTGCAACATGACAGTTTAAACAGGTCTATTTCTAATTCAGCGTTTTAAAATATCTATTACTGCTTACATTTTGAAAGGTGGTCTTTTTTAAATTTATGGTAATTCCAGTTACTGAACTCAACTAGAAAATATTTGGTCTTTTTTCCTGAGAGATTCATTCAACCTTTATTTCTACAGGTAAATCCCATTGAGCCTCGAGGACTCATTTACAAGAGACCTGATTTAACAAAGAATGATGACAACATGACAACAAGACTGACGTAATTTAGTTAAAGTTATAGATCATTTGTCAAAGACTGCAGCATAAATTGTGACATTATCATTAAAGAAAAACGTGATTGTGGAGATGAGTCAATGTTTTCATGTTTTCCAGGTAAACCAGAGGAGAATGACTTCATGAACTGAATGTTGCATTCAAAGTATCAGAAAGGTACAAGATCTCATTTTCTGTCTTCTATGAATCAATAATAGCTGAATCAAGATGTTTGAATAAAATTACTTTAACACCATAACCTTCACAAAGTTGGTATTTACTGCAGGACTGTTCATTTACATTAGTTTTATATTATTAGTTTAGTGTTTGGTAATCATGGGTCAAGTTGAGATGAGACTCTTTCAAGACAGAACAAGAAATAAGAATTATTACAAGAATAAATCAGCATCAATAAACTGTAGGACAGTAACAAAACACTTATTAAACTATCACAGGTACATTGAGATGGAGCTGGAAGTTATTCTTCATGCCAGTTGTCTTCATCTGATCTTTTGTAAAAATATGTCAGAATTTATTTTCCATTAACATTTTTCTTCACAGGACTGAGTTAATTTTCTTGTCTGTGAGTTTCTTCTATCCTGCTTATGTATTTTTTTGTTCTAATTGTTCCTCAGGTTGTTCATCTCTGTTCCCTGACTGCCTGTTGATCCATCCTCCTGGTCCTGTTGATTCATCCTCCTGGTCCT